GCATTGCTATCATTTTCATGTACAAATGTATACAATTACATATTAGATATCTATTCACTACCTATCTATTTACTGCTTTACTGCCTACTGGTTTTTTCCTTATTCAAATTGCCTACATAATCATTCACACCAGTGATTTCTATAACATTTTTATTAGTCTAATTAAATTTAAAATAAATTACCCAATAAACGAAAATGGGATGCAAATCTTCGATAATTGCAACGTAGACAAGTTGGCATTCTCTCAATCGCTTAGTGCTTGACATATGAACGAACCTCGATGAAAACGAAAAAGGAAAAATGCGACGCATAGAAGAGCGATACCAGATTATAATAATTAGTTTCATGTCAAAAAAATGTTGCAAGTGCAAATACCTCATTTCATAGATAGGAGCGGTGTCAAATTTGCAAAAAAGGATGAACAAACAATGAAATACTTTCTAAAGTTGTTTCCTTCCATATTAATAATAAACATGAATAAAAATAACAATAAATTACGAGGGTAATTATAAATTACGGGTCTGTAAAAGAGCGGTCGATAGCAGAGGTATGGTTCATTCTAAAAGCCGCAAGCTCGACTGCCGGTTACCACAAAGTCAGGTAATACCATCATCCTACTTTGGGTGCTTAGTTTTTACTCGGCGCCGATTCCTTTAGAGGATTATTTCACCTCAAGGGATCGACGGAACCGAGGGAGGGTGCTACTGATGAGTCCCAATAGGACGAAATAGGCGCCTATATAGCACTAGACCTATCGGCTCAAAACATGTAATATCCTTATCACAATAAATTACTTAAGTGACAAAATCATTTATCTGTGAGGACGAAACACGTGTCTCGGGCTGTACAAGAGCCCTTACCAGACCACATGACAAGTTGGCTCAAATAACAATGAAAGGATATATAGAAATTTGAGCGTGGTCTAAACAAAGCACTCGAAATAAAGGTATAATTATGATAAAAGTACCAGCCAATGAGCAATCGAGTGCACAACACTCTGTGTTACGTGAAGGTTTCACTTGACATAGAGTGTAAAGCGTACGTCGTCGATGACTATCTATAAGGAGTGTAAGGCTCCCGAGAGAACTGACTATGAAAAGATCGACAGACGACGGGTTCTGCCCGGCTGACGAGTCTGTAAGGACGAAACACGTGTATCGGGCTGTACAAGAGCCCTCACCAGACCACATGACAAGTTGGCTCAAATAACGATGACAGGATTTCAATAGGAATTTTTGCGTGGTCTTAAGAAAACATCCGAAAGAAAGGTATTATATGACAAAATAACTATTGAAAATTACTAAGTTCACTACTAAGTAGAAGTTTTCAGCATGGACCGATCTTATCTATGGAGTTTTTGGGGTGGAGATGGAATGCCTAGAAGTAGCAGAAATCGAAGACTCGCCTCAGGTTCGACTCGTCGACATAGAAAGAATAATTCAATTTTTTCTCTATGAGAAAACGCGAGGTCGCTAATAGTAGAATGTATTGGTTACCAGTCAATTCAACAAAACGATGGGTGGTGGGTGGGCGAGTTTCGCCTTCTTGAGAGACGTTTTGTTGTTCTCAAGTACGTCAATCGTTCATGGGAGACAAGCCGTACAGCTCAGCGCGTTGAACGGGAATGACATCTCTCTTTACGGCTTGGCGCCAGTGATCAATTGCAAGGCTTAAAAACAGCAAAAATGCTTGCGAGAAAGGCGCGATCGCCGAAACTTCAAGGCCATTATTTTATCGCGCTGAGCGGTATTTAATGAATACTAATTCAACGACCTCGTAGCTTTTCATAATAATAATACTTAATCGACAACTTATGGTCGCCTATCACTGATTGAACTAAGAGCATAACGCAAATAAAGTTATGGCAACATCATTTACAACAGAATAATCACAGTGAAGTTTGCGAGAATGTTCAAAGCCTTTTCAAGGTTGGTACGAGTCAGGGCCATACGCACGTTTCGGCGGTGGCACCCGCTTCATTAGTGGCCCATATCCCACACTTAAGCCTAGTTTGTAGCAGGGATGTGGAGACATTATTTATGGTGATAGCAGTGACATTGTGTTAACACCATTCTTTTAGTCGACGGATTAATCGGATGACTTCCGTGGACCCGGGGGCGTGTCCAACAACTGCACCACCTCTGCTCCGATGGAGCACCGACTACCGCTACTTTGCAGGTCCCGCAGCTAAGTTTTAGAAAGATTCGTGCGCGGTCTGCGCCGGCGTGTTGACTGCTGTTTCTTGATATTATGCGTGCAAGTGCGGTGTCAATAACAAGAAAAAGCAGTCAGTACACCGGCGCAGATCGCACAAAAACCATTTCAAAACTTAGCTGAGGGTACTGCAACGATAAGTCGGCGCCCAATTTCGCCAGACAGGGTGGGGTCGTTGGACACGCCCCCGGGTCCACGGAAGTCAACCGGCTGGCAGTGCACATTCTTCCAATCGACTGAACTCCCTATTCCTGCTATAAGATAGGGTTGAGTGTGGGGCGTGGGCCACTGATGAAGCGCACGATACCGCCGAAACGTGCGTAAGCCCCTGTCGTACCAACCTCAAAAAGGCTTGAAACATTCTTATAGCCTATATTGAATGTTTACTGCGAGGTTTGAAAAACAGTCGATTGTAAGGATGTCTTCAAGGAAGTTCAATAAATCCTTTATTGTTTATTGCTCCTTAGTAGTACTATGATGTTATGAATATAAATTCAGGAGTTTTGGATGGTATGCAAAAACCTGACCCCGGGTAGGAGTCGAACCCGCATTTCACCGATATCGGGGGCGAAATGATGAATTCGGATAGGTTACGCATTTCGAATAGCTGCCAGCTTAACTGGGTTTAAATGGACAACATGTGCTTACCAGATCACAAACCCGTTAACGGTTGGTTGCTGACAGATCGATACCTTGTATTGCAGAAAGAGTGATAGCATGAGAGTGAACTTGCTCGTTATTGTAGTGCCCACCAGTCCACCCCCGACGCCATCCGCAAATCCGCAATATCTCGTCGTTAATAACACAAAGTCACGAATACAGTGTTCGCCTTATGCGTGCACGTCGACTCTTTAGCGTTGTCGATACGCAGCCACTGTGCCAACTGGAGCACTTTATTTTCGGCTTGACGTTGTTGGTTGGCAGGAGGTATGCCTTGCAGAATTTAGGCCATGAAGGTTGTCTGCGTCGCCGCTTTGTATCGATTTTTTTCTGTCCTCTTCTTGTTTCGTTTTTTCTTCTGTTGATCCGCTGTCAAATAGTAAAGCAAATATTCGTATAGCTGGTCGTGCTCTTAAGATATCACTTGAGTTGTGCGGAGAGGCGTTTTTTGGTTTTTTAATGTGATTTCTGCCATGAAATTGCATGACTTTGGTGTCGTTGAATTGCGCATTTTCTTGCGAGCATTTTGGTATATAACTTGCCTATAATTGCTTTCAAATAGAGCTGTTTTGGGAACAATTTCGCTTGCCACTAACGCACCGAATGGCGCTATAGGAGAATGCCGTAAAGCGACTCGCAAGATCAGTGGAGCTTGAAGTGATAGTGGTGATACAAAAAGGACGGCTAGGAAGTGGTTCGCGAAGTTCAAAGCTGGAGAGAGCAGCCTGGAGGAGGCTAAGTCGCGCTCGGGCCGTCCACGTGGAAGAGTTGATCGTCAAGCTGACCTTGGCATGGTCGAACGGAGCCCCTCAGTGACTTCAATTCTACATTCCAAGCATCAGTCTCTGGCCCGAAAAGTGGTAGAAAATTATCGAGATTGATGGAAAATATTTTAGTTCTTGGTTTCGTTCAGTTTTGCTTTTGTTCGGAACAAAGCGTCACGGAATATTACACTGCTCCATAAGTTTTGGCACTGGAGCAATAAATATCCAATTTTATAAACCAGAAGAATTTGAAATTGCATGGTTTTGGTATCGTTCAACTGCGCATTTTCTTGCGAACATTTTGGTATACAATACCTGTACCTGTATCAAGATGGAGCTTTCCTGGAACAAATTCGCTTGCTACTCATGCACGAATGGCGCTCGTAGGAGAGAATGCGCTAGTGAAGCGGTGTGCAAGATTGATGAAGCTTCCTATGAGACAGTGGACTGGACGGTCTGAGCGTGACTGATCCTCCAGACTATTCTCTCCAGCTTTGAACTTCGCCAACGACATCCTAATCGTCCTTTCTGCAACCATATCAGTGCCCCAAACGCGAATAGTCTTGAGCGCCGCTTCACTAGCCACTTTCCCCCTAGGCTCCATTCGAGCATGAGTAGCAGACGAGTTCGTTCCCACGGAAACTATCTATCTTGGAGCAAGTTTATTCAATGTGTAAACGAAAATGTTCGCTAGAAAGTGCACAGTTTAGCAATATCGAAATCATGTGCACTTCGATTGCAAAAATTATGTTAAAAATCCAAAACGGCACGATTTTTTTTACACAACCTTTATAATTTTGTCGTCCATATTATTGGTATCATTGTTAGTTTATCTCACTATTGTTCTTATTCTTATTATTATTATCATTGTTATTCTAACTATTTTTTTGAAATACCCATCATTAGGGGAACTGTGGCCGAGTGTTTAGTGATGCTCGGTGCGGCTTGTGCACCCCCCTCCCCGCCCCACCTTTTTTAAAATACTCTCAGTCACTATCTTCGTGTTTGTCAGGAGACGTGCTCGGCGAGGAAGACCAAATCTTCGAACAAGCGACGAATGCGCGGAGACAAAGCGATTGCTAGAAGTACTGGGATTTTCACAGGGAACTGTGAAGGCGGGACGGATGAATTGAAATAAAAAGCAGTGTTGTCACTACTTATGTAATCAATAGGTATTCTTTATCTAACCGCCTTTTAGCGCTGGTTTAGATGTGGTTAAATAAAGAATACTTGAATGCGTATATATCTAGTACCTGTCGCTTAACTGGGTTCAGTGCAGATGCGTGCTCACCAGACCAAACCGTTGACCGATGGTCACTGACCGATATCTTTTATCACAGAAAGAGTGATAGCAGAACAGGAGCTTTGGTAGTCCAGTTGGTTAGTACGCGTCTCCAGAAAGAGTGAAATACGGGTTCGATTCCCGCCCGAAGTTCAAAGTATTGCATATCAACAACATCATCGGATATATTACCACTACATTCTTACTGTTAGAGCGCATATGGCGCAGTAGTTAGAGGTGCTCTGCGCCGCAGACAAGGTCGATATTTCGGTCTCACGCTCATGGGTCACCAAGCCATCCATCGCCACCGCGAGTTATTGTAAAGGCCAGATATGCATTCAACCACCTCAAACGAAGGTAAAGATTGAAGACGAATACATGGCATAACCCTTGAGGATAGATCAAGGACGAGAGCTTCATCTTTTATGCTTTTATGTTCATACTGTTATCGATGTTGTTCTTGTTTTTTATGTTGTTTTGATTACTCTTGTAAACAAAAATATCAAACAGACAGGCTTTTGCTCAGAGGTCGGGCCTACGATTTCATTTTTGATGCTTTTTACATTATTCTGAGAATGTTCCCCGAATTATCATGTAGTCGTGAATTTCTTTAAGTTCTTTTCTAACGAAATTAAACTAGAATGTGTATTGAGGACTCTCCTGGTGCGAAAGTGCTGTGACTTAATCTCATCTCAAATCAAATCGTGAACTCAAGTCCTCGTTGATATATGTTCGGAATAAAAGTTGCCTTAATATTGATTAAGTCTTTAGCTGTGAGCAGTGTTTGTTCTATAATTCTTAGCAGTGGTTTCCGTCCTTTGAAATTTCTGTTTTCACTCTCGTTTCTTATTGACCGCAACTAGTAAGTCAGCTACTTTTCCGAATATTGTGGCGCTAATTTTTCAGGTAATCTATCAAGTAAAGTAGTCTATCAAGTTCAATCATGGCTGATCAGGATGAGGCGCATCTCGCTGAGCTCAAGAAGAAGAGGACTTTCCGTAAATTCACCTACCGAGGTGTAGACCTTGAGCAGCTCTTGGATATGTCCCGGTAAGTTGAGTCAGTATTTGCAGGTAAACAGAGTTAGTCCTTGGTTAAGGGTACATGTTCGCACATAAGAGCAATTAAAATATCCAAGGATGGTGAGTGATACCCCAGGTGGGAGTTGAGTACTCGCTTCCCACCCATACCGCGCTTCCGTTCTACCACTACATCACCGGCGCTGCCACTTCTTCATCGGTATAAGGCATCGCAGCCTTCAACTATCATAATTGTTGTTGACAGTGATATGGGAGCATAATAAGTTTATAGTAATCGTAACATCTCAGGCGCAGTGATAGCTGCAGCTGTATTTCCCTTTATCTCGTCGTAGGAGGTTATTCGCTTCATAACTTATTTGCCTTTAACTTTGTTTGTTCTGTTTTACGTTAGTTGCTGATTCGCATTTGTCACAATCCAGCTTTTCAGGACTTAGGTTGGAAAGAGAAAAATTGAAAGTCATAGGTGAGCACACAGCCCCAACGCTCTTTGCCTCATTATCCGTACGCTTCATGGCGCCATAAAGTTCTGAAGCGGCTTGTTTCCTGCTACTCATATCTTTAGCCAAGCTGGCAATCATGTTGACTTGTCTGCCGAGGCGTAAGGAAGCATCGAGAAGTATTCAAAGACCTGTTCGTTCCTCGTGGACATTGCTTGTCCAAGATTCAGTTCTTTTATATCGAATAGAACGCCTTATGCATTCGCCGTGAAAGTCTCCTCAAATTCGTTCCCATTGACCGGTATCTTTATTGTAAGTACTATATCATCAACAGGTTGTTGCTCTCTCGAACAGATCGCGTTATCTACATCTACGAAAGTCAGTGTTAGCGGTTTCTTCTACAGCACGTCGTTGTCCTATAGTCATAGCTCAATGAAGCCTTTTTTGATAAATATTGTACATATGACATTCTGCTTCCAAAACTCAGTCCTAACAATGAAGTGCCGAGGTTGAAAGGTTATATACAACTGAGTTTACATTCGTTTTCGATTCATGACTCACATGTTCACTGCAGCGTTTCTAGAACTAAACTTCCAATTATAACCGTTGTGAAGATGGTTAGTGTACAGCTCATATTCTCCATCCAAATCATCGATAACTTTCTTTTCCGAAAATCAGATTAAGGAAGTAACCCAGTGTCGTTCTTGAAAACCAAGTTTTAACCTGCTCCGTCACGAATAATCAATATTTTCTTGCATTAATGCATCATATTGTCACTACTTCTGCTATCTTGTAACATCTAAAGCCGAAGTATTTGAAATCGGATGTCCACAGCAGTTTTTTCCTATGATGTGAGTCTTATTATATTAGTCTACACAGTCTGATCACAAGAATGTCTCTAGTAACAACCTCGGGTAAACTCATTAACGCGAGGTAATATCAGCATAGTACCGGTCCGTTATGGTTTAAGCCATCATTTTTTGAAATTTTAGCCTTCTATGTGAAGAGTTTTGTTCAAAGATTATCACGTTGGAAGTTTCTTAGTGAACGTGGATGTCGATTGCTTGGAACCCGCAGTTTACGCGAATATGATTAATTTCATTGTTGTATCCTCAACTTGAATTACAGGTTAAAAACGTTACAAACGTAAGAAGTTGAGATTCAGGAATAAGAAGTTAAGTTCTGAGTAGTAATCTCGTATAAACTCTTGTATGCTTCAAATAGGCCGTCTTTCCCGTAGTATCTATCAAGGTTAACTTTCTAGTAAGCGCGGTTTCTATTACTAGGTCGTTTTCTTCTTTAGCAGAACTGAGATTGCTCTCCTAATGAGAGAGAACCGTGTTTTCGTCATTGTGAGTTACTTGTCTTCGCCATCGTATTAAAGTCTGATAGCTTATCATCCAATTCTTTGCATTTCAGTCTCGATCCTTATGAGATCCTTCAAGCATGCTTGTGAGTACGCTAGTGATACTCAAGTCTCTAACTATTGCATTATCCAAGGCATCTCTTCCGTAGAGCTCTGTGTGATTAAAGCACCTTAATCTCAAATCTATTCATAGGTTTATTTCAATCGTTGGATAGGCAACAAACTGTAGTGTTGATACGGGGTGTTAGTTGTTCGAAGAATTTGATATTTTGTGGGCGCATCTCTATGAACGAGGAGACTAACATTACCATCTGCTTTTTCGTCGTGTATTTTCAAGGATTTTCGTCATTGTCGTAAAAAAGGGTTTCTCGAGAATTGTTTTGTCTAGGTCAGCCGTTTGTGTAATAAATAACTTTCCCAATCTGGTTAACCGTGGTAGTTTTGCACGACTTGCAAAGTAGACTAGTTCATTTTTGGGAGCAGAATTCTAGCCGTGCTATGGCACTTCTTAATGTTGTTGCATACTTCTGATCGAACGTGCATGGATACATGAACATAGGAGAGCCTACAAACTCATACCTAAAATTTCTATGTGCATACAAATGTATAACCAACTCTATCAAGGTATAAGAATGATTGATGTTTCGAATTTACCTACGTTGACAGCGACGGTGTGATCCGTGGTTGTTAGTTCGCATCTAACCCTTTTTGTGTTAGTTGGAGATTCATCACTTAGCCTCCCGAGTAATTGTCAGAAGATGTCTCCATGAGGAATTCATGTTGAGGAGTAAATATAGGTAGAAGTGACAGAAGCATGTTAATAAGTAGTAAAATCTGATCTTTTTTCAGTGACCAGTTTGCGAAGATGTTACCTTGCCGCATGCGCAGACGACTCTCTCGCGGCCTGAAGAGGAAACATTTGAATTTGATTTCCCGCCTTCAAAAGGCAAAGAAAGCTGCTAACGTGCTCGAGAAGCCAGCTACTGTGAAAACTCATCTTCGTGATATGGTAATTTTACCTGAGATGGTCGGATCCGTTATCGGTATTTACAACGGAAAAGTCTTCAATCAGGTACTTGATTTCCACCCTAACTAGAGATAGTAATGGTCCATTAGCAATTACATACCGTTTTATTCAGACTGAAATCAAACCTGAGATGATTGGATATTACCTTGGTGAATTCGCAATTACTTACAAGCCTGTGAAACATGGAAGACCAGGTATCGGAGCTACGCATTCTTCACGCTTCATCCCACTAAAGTGAAATTGTTGTTGTTATTTGATAAGTTTTTGGCTCTGTTGTGAGTGTGTTTTAGTTGGGTTCAGCATAAATCTGTCTTTTAGTTGAACTAGTTTTTACATGTGCTTTATCTTAATTTCTTCAATACAGAATATAGAGTGGATACTTATAATTTGGTAAATCATACTTAGAAGAGGTGATAGAAATTTACCACATAGAGTGTGCATAACAATAGATTGGTTTCTGTGCCTACATTAAACGTTTGTGGCGAAGATTCAGAAATGTTCCACTGGAGTTGACTCGTTCACCTTTTGAATCGTTTCGCATAGTTGACATTGAATATTGGGCGAACTCAACCTTGACTATCGTAATGACTACACTTGAATCCTGCCTTAACAAATTTTTTTGTGAAATGCTGGGATTGCTCTGCTAGGGCATTCGCAGGCTCCGTAGCAGTGGCGGTTACCGCCTTTGTGAATCGGCAGAAGCTTATTTCGGACAGTGTGAGAGTGGTCTATCAAATTTGAATGGATGGGAAATTTGGTTGGGCTGGGACGAAATTGAATTAAGGACCCATGCATTGAACAGTGACACAATGCCAATCGAATAGTTTGAATACTTTAACACTGGTACAATAGATGCCTTATCTGAGGGCAACGTTCTAAAGAGGGGTGGAGCTCGGCTCCACTCGCGTCGTGACGAGCATCACAACCACTCGGCCCGGAGCTCCTCATCTAGATTTCAGTAGTTTTATAAAAGTTAGATATCAAAGTGTGACGCTTTCGTGTTTTAACAGCATTCATTCAAATGATGTGATCCTTGCTACTTGTCGTTTCCTTCGTTGAATAGCAATAACTCATCTTAAAATGCACGTTATTAACTGGAAAGGGATTATTAAAATCCACAGATCACATTACCAACTCAACACTTGTGGAGAGCAAGTTTTCTCGTAGGCCAGAAATTATGGATTTTTCTCAGATTTTGTATTAAAACTTATTTTTGAGCACAAGTAAAATAGACAAATACATCTCACATAGTAGGGCATGGAAATACTTCTCAACATATCACA